TGATGACGCTGACCACGCTATTGGAGTGTGCTTTCAATACATGATTAATGGAAGCTGCAAGCTGGTTACGCTAGTCGCGTTAGCAACAAAAGTTCGAGAAACGAGGTCTGGAGAATGGAATGCGCGAATGGCATGTGGATGAACTGCATAAAGATGAACATACCTATGTATATTCTACGAGTTGAAGTATATATTTGTATGAAAAAAATTTGCTTTGGCTTTAAACCTGAGTTTTGGCTTGGCTAAACACATAAATTTAATAAAATCTATTCAGGTATATAAAGCTTGTTTTGCACAAAGCCTGCGCTAAAATTCCCAAAAATCAGCAAAAATAAACTTTACCTATACAAATAGAGATGTAGCGGAACATCTGCGGTAAACATGCTCTTATATGTCTTCACTTACAACTCGCCCTTTTATTACTTTTGGCTAATAAACGACGATCATAAAAAATGAATGCCTTTGCTAAATGATTTTTTCCCTACAAAGTACGATTCACTACTTTGTTCGTACAAGTACACATTTTTTCTCACTCATGATGATCTCAAGCATTATGGAAAAAATAGCTTTCATATATTCACCTAAGCGCGCACACACACATTTATATACATATATATAAATGTATATACACATTGTATGTGACCTTCCCTCAACTTACCTCATCGCCGCGGTGAATGATCACGCAAGCAATTCTGACACTCCTAAGGTCCGGTCTACTTTGGGTTCATGCTGCTGAGCTGACAGAAAGAGTGTGCGAGCGTTTCGCAATTGCCAACAAACCGACAGCGAACTTACATGAATTTACATATACAAGACGGACATGTATACGTACATATCTACATTTATACAAATTATCATATTCACACAAAAATTGTACGTATTTCGTGTCGTCCCATCGGCAATTTTGAAAAAATAGCTTACTGACGTGGAATATTTGACATATTACTACAAAAATGAATGTGCTAATATCAAATTAAGTGTTTACGATTACTTAGTATTACATTTATTTATTATACATATATAAAATATGAGACAAATCAGCACAATTAAAACCACTAGAAGTTGTATGTTAGAACGTGATCTAACCCCGCGCACGTTTTGGAGTTAAAAAAATAGATTAGACACGTATAGAAATGTCAAAGGTAGAAATTTTCGGTTTTATTGCTATTTGGACGAAGCACAGAAATAGCATAGAGCGTCTTTTTTTGGAATTACTAATCTGAAGTCTTTAATTTCTAACAGCAATCAGTTGCTAATTTGCTGACGTCGCCTTTGCGCCTATTATTTCAAGAGTTTTCTCAGAAATTTTCCCCAGAGCATCAGTACTCTGAAGTCATTTCAAAAAATTTAGTTCTAATCACAAGATTTTTCTGAAATTCGCGATATTAGCTCAACAGTTATTAGTTATATTTTAACTGTTAGTAGTTTTGGCTGTTAAAGCAACAGGTGATGAGTCATCAATATGCAAAATATTTCAAAAAAAGCCCCACGATATTGAAAATATTTCACGTTTCGAGTACATACTAGATTTTTAAGAAAAAAATAAAAAAACAACTTAAAATAATTGATGACAAACCGAAAAACCCCAGTACACATCTTATTGGGACCAAGAACTAAAACAGCTCGTGTTATTTGCATGCATAAATATATCTACTATTTGCATGTATCTCTTTGTTAATTAGTTAACTAGATTGACTCGCATTTTCTTTGCTCATGTCGCAGATACTGAGTTTCTCTATATCTACAACAGAGTACAAAGGTGAAAAGCAATTCTCCAATAACTCAAATAAAGCAGAGTAAAGTGTAGTAAGGTGGAGTAGTGAAAAAGTAACAAAACCGTACGAAATACGCGAATGAAACGACTTGGGAATAGGGGCACGACAACTGCGAAATTTCACATGTAGATACATATGTCTGTATGTTAGTATGTTTGTTTCTGGCGGCAAATATGTGGCTATGTATTTACATAAGAGTAATTCATATCTATGTATAAAAGGGGGCACAGCAAAATGGAGTTCGCAACCCTACATGAAACTGCTGATAGTTTCACCAATCCACTCACATTTATTTTATCCACTCACATTTATAATTTACTCAGCAATTGACCGTCAGTGTTATTGTTAAAGAGAGACACTTATTGCTTACTATAGCTTTACATATGTAAGAATGAAATAGATGCATTCTTTAATATTGTCACCACTGACAGTCAAATGAACAGGGAAATGGCTGTCAATGTTTACAATTTTTCCAAAAGCAAATTCTATACGTCGAAAAGAGACAGCATACATTTCCATAGAAGTTTCGAGCAGTTGTGAAATAAATACCTATGTAGCTGTTTTTCCGTGTGATAAACCAAAAGTGTAACGTGCCCCTTTGCAATAACTCTTTTTGTGTTAAAAAAAGAAATAAATAGAGGAGCAAGCATGGAATCAAGTGAAAATTTATTTCCATAATTTATTATATAATTATATTTTTGTTATACATATATTTATACTTTTATATTATATTATATATATATTTATCTATATTATTATAACTAGTTTAAATTAAAAGTTTTTAATTTTTTAAAGAAATAAAAATTGTTTTATTTAAAACTAAAAAGAATTTTTGACTTCTGATAGATTTACAGTCATTACTGACAAATTGCAGCTTTGATGAAGCAATGACTCAGGAAAAACATGAGAGTGAGCAGTATGAATATATAGTGAATCAATTCCGAATATCCATGTGTTAAAGAGAGATGCAAACTAACACACATGCGTTTGTTTATATAAGTTTTTGCACAAGACTCTTAAGAAAATGATAGAAACTTTGTTCTGCGCGCTGACAAAATTTTTCCAGCTGTGACTGTCATATTACCGATCAGATGACTGTCACTGTTCTTGTAGGGTAGCGATTTCAAAATATAAACTTCAACACCAATATATACATATACATATGTATCTACATCCATTGAAATATAATAATTCTACAAATTCAGTTGAATTTTTCTTTTAACTTTTAGATTTTTCGCATAACTCTATTTATTTTTAATTTTTCCTAAATCGGGTAGGGGACATTTTACATTATATTGAAAATATATATAAGTACATGTAGATATATTTTTACCAATCGACCTACGCATACTTTGTAGCTCCACGCTCATCTGCAACACATACGCACACAACGTGCGCGGTTCTGCACTCAAATATACATATATGTGTGTGTTTGTATGTGCACACATACTTGGCTACGTTGGGACTTTAAGTTACCTTCACCTGCCACAATGAATACGCACATCCATATGTATACACACGCATGCAAATGACTGCTACGTGGGTGTATGTGTGTGTGCGTGGCGCTGAAAATGTGGGTGAACGAAGGGCGCTGTTGTGTGGGTAGCAATGACGGCTGCAATAGCTCAAACTATTCATCACACACATAAACGTACAATTAGTTCTGCTATAAGTGTGTATATGTGTATGTACCGCCAGCGCCAGCAACAATACCGATAGCAAGCAAAATTTGTTCGCTGATGACGGTTATAAGCGTACGCTGGACACTCCCTCCTACGTATAACCATTTGCAAATACACTTTGTTTGTATATATGTGTGTGTGCTGTACGTGAAACCCCCACACATTACATTGAATGGCGGTGAATTGCAGTTCAACTTCGCCTGGGATTTCGCACAGCTCCAGCAGATACGAGAATATGCCAAAAAAATGACAACAGCAACACAGCCAGCTTTACCGCTAAATAAAGCGGCTACTGACTCCGTCACTGACACCGACAGCACCACACGCCGCTCCCTGCTAGAGGCCGCCAACGTCAAAAACATTAAGCCAACTCGCAAACGTGAACTCCACGTACAAGCAACAACAACAGCTACGCTAGCAGCAGCTGTAGGCAAGGAATACCAATCGGATTAACAACAATAACAACAATGTAACCACAATCACTCACTGTGCATGTGGCTGCGATTCTACTCTACCCAGCAAAGTGCCGCTGTGCTGCCGACGTCGCCGTTGCGCGCAGTGACGCGCACCATACCAGACCGAATTGGCTTCCTACAGCCAGGCAACAAAATGTTTTCATTCGTTTGTTGAATATCGAACGGAACGGTTCCATATTCTCTGCTCGGCTCCGCTTAGCTAGCAAAGAAAAGCTAAATGAAAGAAAATATTATTAAACAAAAGTACTGTTATTAAAAGAAAAGTGGTAAAGACACAGATTTTCATATAAATTCCAAAGCAGAACAAAATATTTGATATATATGAGCTCGAAAAATTTTAGCAAAAGCAGAAACAAAAACATTGCTTAAACGTGAAAGTGCAAAAAGTGAATTTTCGCAAGCGAAAGAAACTGTGGAAAGTGCAAAAAAAAGTTATTTTGAGAAGAAAAAAAATAAAAACAGCTGAAACCCTAAAAAGTGAGCTCCAAAATATTCCATTGGATAACTGCATTTGGATTACTTTTAATACAAAAACAACAGCTTTTATTAGCGAACAAACACACAAACACTATGGATATCGCTTTATTGCCTTCACCGCCAGCAACGCCGCCACTATGCGAGAAACAAAACGAAGTAAGTATGCGGAAATTTTCGTAAAACCAAAATTCGATTTCAAAAACACTGAAATTGTTAAGTAAAGTGTAGTGTAAAAGCAACGGATAGGTGCAAAATGTGGGAGTGGCGTATATGTATATATAATATATATAAATGAGAAACAAAAAAGAAAGAGTAGGCAACAGCAAGAAGCAGGAAAACAATTATTTTTAAAATAAATTTCTTTAATAAATTAAATTCTAAAAACATATGCATAAAATAATATTTAATATTTTTTAAATTAAAAAAATTCTTTGCTCAAAAAAAAACTTATTTTTAATAAAATATTTAATTTCTTAATGAAATAAATTCTCAAAAAATTGTATAAAACAATATTAAATTTTCTGAAATAAAAAATAATCATTTTGGTTGCTTTAAAAAATTTTAAAACTCAAAATATTTTAGTACTGGTATTTTAGCACTAACTAAATTTACTGAACTTAAATTCATTTGGCTCTCCAAAATGTATTAAATTTAAAAATGTAATTAGGTTAATTTATTTGAGCTTGTAATTTGTAGCTATTTTCTAAAATTGCTTATTTCATCAACTTGCTGCTTTCGTTTTTTCAGCTTATACATATAGACACATATTTTTTACCACATTAGCTCGATGAAAACGAAAAATATGTATTTCAATTAAAAATACAATTTTTACAAGGCAGCCGCACACACAATTTTAATAAAAAGTTGCGCTATATGCATACACATACACACACACATGCAAACAATCATACATATACATATATGTATTTATGTATGCATGTAGACGTTAACGTTTGTACGCTTGATTTGTGTTGCACGCTCCCAACGAGTGACACATTAAATTTGTTATTATCGCTTACGACAACAATAATAACAACGGCGCTGCAATGACTGCAAATGCGTCGCAGGCAAAAACTAACGACAGCGGATGCACACTCCCCCTTTTTATTGCACATGAACATTTCGCTTTCCAATGACTTCATACTAGCTATATACCATACATATGGATACAGTTTCATTTAATTTTTCTTTTTTTTTTGATTTCGTGAAAATTCACTTGCAATTTCAATGAAATAAAACTAATTTTAACTTTTTGGGCTGCGGAAGAGGTGTGTACCAAAAAACTAGCAAGCTACGCCATAAAAATGGCTTTTTACAAGCACGCTAAGCATAATGAGGGATTGATCAGGCAAGACGCGGCAGTAAAAAGTAACAGAAAACAACAACAATTTCGAGTGGTAGTATGACAAAGCGTCTGTGTTTGCAACTCCCAGTCTACCTTAGCCGCCTACATTCATTCATATATAACGACTGCAGCTCAACACACATACAAATCATATGTATGAAGTATGTGTGTACACACCCGTGCGCTTAATAAAAACACTATTAATGCCTATTGCCTTGCCCATCGCTTTCGTGCGCACACATTTTGTGAAAACAAATGTTCGCCATCGCATTCGCACTCAGCACCGGCATTGTGATCACGCCGTGTTCACTCGGCCGTCAGCTGGTGTTCACGTGAACAGTGCATGGCCAACATGCCTCCAAATCTGAAAACTACAAAAACATACACACAACACAGCGCGCTCAAGTACGTTCGATTCGCTCGTATTGAGCGTATGACCCCTTTGCGACGGCCTGCATGCCTTGTCCCTGCTTATTCATCACTCGGCATATAAGTATTTGTGTAGTGTTTAAATGGCTGGCCGACTGGGTGGATGATACATTGGACTGTTTCGCGCTCACTGCCGTACGAAAATGCCGAGATGTGCGAGAGTCGAGCAGCAAAAGAGCGGCGCTGTGAGTAAGTAAATATGCCAAGCAGTGGGGCGGCGTACTCAGTGTTTTCCTACGAATACGCATATGTATGCATACATACATATTTACAAGCTTTTGTATGTGTATCTGCTTATGGCCGAACACGACGTGAATACGTGAATATTTTTGCGTTATGAAGGGAGGTAGCTGACGTCGCTGACTTGTTTCCCTCGCTTATTGTTTTCATTTTTTTTTGTATATTTTTTAGGCGTTTTCTAAACGATTAAGCATATCAGTAAATTAGGATTTTATATTGCCAAATTATAAGCAATTACTACATTAATGTGTTTATAGATTAAACACGAAATTTCTTGACTTACCGCCTATCTAATCAGCAACGACATAAAATCATATCACAAGACTTCCCAATCGTGTCCATAAGCGCCAAGCCCATTTATATAAATATAGTATATATATACATATACATATATTTTAAAAATTAGTGGAAGTCAATGATTTCTTATCGTGCGCCAGCTTTAGTAAACAGCAATTGAAATAAGCAATAAAAAAGAAAATTCTATAAAAAGGTGAAAACAGTAGCGCCAATAATATCAAACATGAGATATATGTATATATATTTACATATGTATGTATGTATATAGCGCTTATTGATAACATCCAATGCTAGTGCGATGCCCGCACTAACGCCACTCTACAAGCACCTGCCTGGCTTTTTCAGAACAAGCGCTAGAAAAAGACGCACATATGCGCGCTCTCACATATTTTCACCTTCCCACAGCTATGGCATAAACAATAGCAATGACGTAGCGCTGGCTGCCATGTGTAGGCTTGCTGTTTGCACTAGCGCTGTCATGCCGTGAGTGCGTGCCACGCTTTGTACTATGTACCCATGTGCACAGAAAGATTTATTTTCGTACATATGTATGGAGATACATATAAAGATATTTACTTGTTATAATTTTTTTCTTTGCTCCACACACCTCAATGACGGCTCTGGCGCTGATATTCATAGGTATATGAGCTATTTTTAGCGTACACTCTCATTTGCTCTCAACAGCTAATGCGGGCTTAACAGCGCGCTCGCTCCGTGCTCGAACGCCATCAGTGAATGTATTTCTTTCGGCTCTCCCATTGTATCTAGTCAATGACGCTACTCCCAAAAGTATATATTTAAGTGAGCGACAAAGCATTTTATGCGCGCGTCAGCGCACGCGATACTTATGCGCGCCTGGTAAGTGCTTACGTACGTTCCGAAAGGTAGACAGCTTTTCGTATTGTGTCGCTCAATCATGTTGGTTAGAAATTTGTTATTGAGCTTACACGTTTTTTCCTCGATATGTTGTCAATCGGCGTTGACCTCACAATACAAAGAGAACATAAACTGTGATGGCGACCACGCAAATGACCTCCGCTTTTTTTAAGGAAGAATGTCCTGCAATTGTTTGGGATTTACACACGCGCTCACCAGCGACGCTAGTTTCAAGTTCAAAATCTACCAAAATCCGAGAACGAAAGCGTAGACGGAATTACTATGCAGTTAGTTAAAGCAGTGAGAATCAGTTTGTGGAGTGTTTCTCAAAAATAGATGAATGCTACTGACCATTTTCAGGAATTGAGGTTATTAAAGAAGTATTTAGTATAAATATGATAATTTTGGAATATCACTGCTTGATTATATCTGAAAAAGAATTGGTAATTCTTAAAAATAGTAATAATTTTGAATTTTTTTGCGTTCCATCACAGTTTACCTCTGCGCTACACTTTATTTGAAAAGAATTGCCTATGCAAACATATCTCTAACTGTTTGCCGTTTTCTTTTTCCCTTTGCAGGATGAAAAGCCCTCAGCACAGCATTTACACGAGGAGATGCTCAAAGCCAAGCTGCATTTCAGCCAACAGACTAAGCAGCAGCATATAATCACCCCAAATCCCTCAGACACAGAAGATGACGCTGAGGCACCACCCTGCAAGAAACAGCGCTTGGAATTGCCACAACCAGTTGCCGCACTAACGCCGCCACCAGAAACACAGAAACAAGTACAAACACAAGAGCAACAACAAACACAGCGCGTTAGCGTTATCATGCATGTGAACAGCTCGGGCATTTGTTCCGCCATCGACGAGAATTCGTGCTCCTCCACCATTTCCAGCGCCTCCGCTGCGTCTACCACAACCACCACAAGCAACAGCAATAGCACTGTCTCGCAAGCACCGCTGCTGACATCTGACGACGATTGCAGCGAAACCAATGTGTGGCGCAGTTTGAAGTTCAAGATGAATCGCACGCGTTGCAGCAGTTTCTCGGCGCCGGCGTCCGTTCAGCAGCCACAACAACAACCAGAGCAAAAAGAGCCTAGCGAATCCAAACTGGATTTGACGCAAACACACTTCCGCTTCACGCTGCCGGCTGTGCAAACAACCGTTAGTGCAACACAGCAACCGCAACAGCAACAAATGTACACCACCACACCGCCACAGTATCAAGTAATTGCACCGAAAAGTATTTACCTAACACCCGCGTCGACATGCGCATCCAGCAACGGCAGCGCGCCTAACGTCACCACAGTCATTCCCGCGCAATTGTTGGTGCTGAACACCAACAACGGCCTGCTACAAAACGTCACCGGCAATCCAACCAGCGCCGCGGCCAGCAGCACACCAGCCTCAACGCCCTTACACAAAATGACTGCAGCGCAAATTGCCGCCGAGCGTCGACGCATCTACGTCTGCGAATACCCGAACTGCGGCAAGAACTACTTCAAGTCCAGTCACCTGAAGGCGCATCAGCGCGTGCACACCGGTGAGCGGCCATTCATCTGCAAGTGGGAAAACTGCGATAAGCGCTTCTCGCGCTCCGACGAGCTGTCGCGTCACAAGCGCACACACACCGGCGAGAAGAAGTTCGTCTGCAGCGTCTGCCAGAAGAAATTCATGCGCAGCGATCACTTGTCCAAGCACATCAAGCGCCATGGCAAGGACAAAGCTAACGGTGTGAACCGAAATGTCGCCGCAGCTACAATGGCAGCAGCAGTAGCGGCCGCCGCCGCCGCAGCCTGTGGCCAACAACAGCAACCTGCTACCGTAACGCCAGGTAGCATTCATAGTGGCACAACTCATTTGCGTCCCATTGCACCAGCGTGTAACATACCGTTGGCGGCGAAGCACGCGTCCGTTCCCGTAGCCACGTCCACAGCAGCCAATACCGGCGCCGCTCTGCAGATGCAAGTCTGCAGCGCCGGCGACTTGTTGCGTCTGCAGCAGGTGGGCGCGTTGCCGACCGCCTTCACCACGCTCATCGCCGACCAGCAGCAATTGCAGGTGCAACAACAACAACAACGCTAAGCGCTCAACAACTAGTACCGCCTACTGGCAGCAGAACAAATTGCCTGGGGATTGGGTATTATCAGTCAAGCGTCTGTCATTCCAAACAACTTAAACAGAAAAATTCTTGCAGTAGAACAGATTATTATGTAAAGATATCATATATTTGCGCTCCATACTTCTTATTGCTTATATGTATTAAGATCTTTAATATCTTAAGAATGTCTCCAATATCCAAAAACGTTTGTAATAATCAGTATGTATTATATTCATTTGATATGTAATTTTTGTTGTAAGGTTACTCTAACTGAGCAATGAAACATTACTTAAAAGCATCGAACCATTATAACACACACACATACGTACTTTTAGTGTATTTAATCTCATATATAATATGTACTCGTATTTATGCAAAAGCAGCCCGTAGACGCTGTCAATCCACAGGGGAGGTGTTCTCACGCCCACCCGCTCTCTCAATTCTATTAACCAACCTTCCTTCCTTTTCGATTTTCTGCTTTAAATATGTGTCTGTAATTCCGTTTTAGCAATAATTAAAAAATTATCATAATGTTATTATCATTTAAGTTATTAAGTTTTTATTTGTTTGTTAATTTTTACCGCTAGCCAATAATTTTTAAAACTCTTTACAACAAATATGTAAAATAGTAAAAAAAAATCTGTGATATTTAAGTTGTCTTAAACTGAGAACACACTTACATATATACTATATATATATGACTACAGCTAATTTATTATATAATATAAATGTATATAAACTTATTTACTAAATTTTCTTACTTGTATAAAATTAAATGCAGTTATGTAATTACGTATATTGGTAAAATGTATGAGTTGAAAAAGTGAAGAAAACTCCAAAAAAAGAAAAACAAAACATAAGAATTTAATGAAGGCATTAAAAAGGAAAAATAAGAAGAAGACATACTTATGCATTAAAAAATTCAACTTAAATACAAAATAAACACTCTTTCCCAAGTGTCTATCAAATCATAATAAACCTGTGTTTTACTTTGCTTGTGGAATTGAACGAATAATAATATTTGTGCTAAGAACCGAGAGTACTCGCAATAAACTACCAAATCCAAAGTATCGGTACTGTTTACTCAGAGAAAATCAAAGATACGCAGTGCTAGAAATATCTTAGATAAATGTAAAATTAACTAGATTTAAAATTAACTCGAAAATACCTAACAGAACTCAGAACTTAGTTGAAAAGTGATAAATTTGTTTGGATCTCTACCGCACCTCAGTTGAAATTTTACCATATGGTATTATCGATTACAACTCTGTCAAAAAAATTTCAGTTGAGTTGTGAAAATCGGTTGAATAAACTTGTTTACACTATTTTTAACTAATTTTGATCTGAATCTGAAATTGAATGAAGCAAACTGTGCTTTAGCTGCCATAAAAATAAAACCAAGGACTTGAGAGAGAAATTCCTCATATAAAATAAAATAAAATAGGGCCACCCAGATGAACATTCGCAGTAGTTATGAAACCAGAGCAATGCCCAGAAAGTGGCACGATAATTTACCTTCTTCTCGTATAAGTTTGGTTATAAGGCAAACTGAAAAAGACATATTGCCAACAACCATAGCAACTGGTGGCGGTCTGTCGAAGGAGAAATTAATAAATCAGAAATAGATGAGAATCTCGCGCGCTGATTTCAAGTTTTTAAATATACTTGAAGCACTTTTTATGTTCAAAATTAATTAAAATTAATTGTAATTTAATACCATAAAATTATTTAGTTGTTTTGAAGCTCAGAAGCTCGAAAGAATTTCGAGTTGCAAACAGAAATATATTTTACATCGACATATGAAAAAACTATAGGGACGTTTTATGGGAGCTTCTGCCGCTTATCTACGAGTCCTAAAACTAATTTGATTGATACATTTTTGCAGTTGTACCATATTTTGAAATCTCACTCATTTCCCACAGTATAAATACATATTCATATGTATAAGTACTTAGATATGTGATTCCCAAAAAATTAAATTTCCGTGTTTACTAAAGGTAATTAAAATAAATACAAATAGAACTGGAAAGCTTTGGTAAGTAATGTTTAGGAACAGAAGGTGACAGATATTAGGAAACTTATTCAAACAAAACTCGTTTAAAAAGACCTTCTGAGTAATTTGATTTTGCAAATAGCGGAATCAGATTGAAATGAAAAGGAGTAGGTTACATACTTATTATGCCGTTAAGGCCAAAATCATGAAGTACTTTACATAATTCAGTTGACACCATGAGCTACTAGGGATTACAATAATTAAATAATAAATAAATTGTATTACCTTGATCTGGTCTATTAAAAGGTGTTTTATTTATATCTTGAATTTCTGAGTCTGGGTCAACTAAACCAGGTGGAGGTTGTACTTTGTCAGTTTATGCTAGCTGTTATATCGATAACTAATAAAAGAAGATTAAGGAGTCTCAGTGTCCATTCGAGCAATATGTCCCAGTCAGCGTGGCTGAACTATTCTACACCTTACCGAATTGTGACTTTAGCAGTCTAGTTTGAACCCAAACAACAGTGATGACTGCTTCCTTAATGATAGGAAATATTACTCCTTGTTCTCTTTAACAACAGAAAAAACACGCTCTCGTAAGAGTTTCCAACTGATCAGTTTAGTCGCAGGCTAAAAACACACAATGAATTGTTTCCGGTGGTGCAACAGCAATACTTTAGTCCCTTCGTCGGCTGACCCCACAAAAGCGCATCCTATTAAAACGGTTGTCCAAATTCCTGGTGTCGGTTTCCGCTATTCGCCAGGATATACATCCCAGTCCCTTCCTGTTAGGCAGTCACGACTGTCAGTGCTACAGTAAGCAAATTATCTTCAAAGTCTATGTCATCCACTTCCTACAGCTCCCTTCTCTCGAAGAAAACACAATTGGGAAAGGATTTCTGAGGACGCCGTTAGTTATTACTATTAGAGCAATTACTGCCTAGTTAGAACTCACCGCATGAAAGTGGAGACCGTGTATTTGCATAAATTTTGTAAAGGCAGTGAAAATATTCGTCAGAGACCTCCATGGAGACAGCAGAAGGGAAGATTGGCGTTGAAAAGACTAAGTGGGAAAATAACAAGTGTGGTTGTTTGGCCCTGCTAACTTTTTCCAACGGGAAAATTATAATACGATGTTGTTGTTGCGGCAGAAATTGTTCCTTACATAATCTTACGGAATGCTGCCGAGTTGAAAGTCCTTAGTCGGTTCGCTCTGATTACGTAGATTTGAATATCGTGGGAACGAAATAATAATAACTTGTCTCATTTGGTGTTTCTAAGGAGTACTAGATTGAATTTATGACAATTTTTAGTATCAAATCATATCAATGAATTTGTAAAGAGAAAATAATTATTGCTGGTCCAATATATAATATTGTATAATATTTATTAAATGAAAACTGTTTTTTTGTATGTATGTTATATAAAATATTTTAGTTTAGATTTGACATAAAAAAGTAAAATAGCCAAATATTGTATACAAAATAACGATGTAGAATAAAAGAGCGGGTTGTTTATGTCAGAACGCTTAAGCCCCAAAGACTGCAGCCAAATCCAAGACGTTTTTGTTGTTTGGTGAACAAGCTTGACGCACTGACATCTCCCAGGTGTCTAGTAAATGTGACAACGAGTACAATTTCGGTAATTTGGCAATGCGCGCTTTCAGTGCTTCCTGTACTGCTTTCAGGAATGGAGTAGTGGCATACTCATGTTGAGCCAATGCGCAGTTAGGCGATGCCATCGGATACTCCTCTGCAAAAAATATACAGAAATTGGAGTTTAATAATATGGTTCTTTTACTTCTACAAATAAATATACGAGCCTGGTATAGTAACGGTAATTGGTGGTACACATGGTAATCGCTTGTCATCGAGACAGCAAATCACTTTGATGGATTTCGGATTATTTTGCGTTGTGCCGTCTAGTGTTAGCTTAAATTTCTGATCCAAACGCGCTATTTCGCCTTGCAGAACATGCGGTATCTCACACTCATACTGAGAGGGCTTCTCGGACATGCGTTGTATTTTGGCCAGTGCTGGAGCGCTATTCGATAAAAAGAAATAATGCTTATCAATGTATAAAAAAAATATATAGCATTTATTTTTTTTGCTGGAATTTACCATATATCGGTACCGAAGAGTAACTCTAAGCAAGGACGGAAAGTGCGATGTAGCGTGTGATTGGCTAGTGGGCTTTGAAGTGTTGTATTTACAACTTCCATCAGTGGGTTTGAAGATTTCTACAGTTCGATACAAATTGTAGAATTAATATATTTATAGAAATATGTATAACAAGTAAGGAAGGGCTAAGTTCGGATGTAACCGAACATTTTATACTCTCGCAAAGTCAAATGGTATACTCGTTTGAGATTTCTTTGTGGATTGACTGATATTTTCGGTAGAAGGTCAACTATAGGCACTGGGGTCCACATATTTAGTACTTAGGGGCTTAAACAGTTTTGGTTCGATTTAGACAATTTTTGGCCGCAAAGTGGCATACTTTAATTGCATTATTCACGCAAAGTTTTACCCCGATATAATCATTGTTACCTGATTAGCATAGTGGAAAGTGAAAGAATCAAGTGGTATTTAAAATGGTGTCATATGGAAAATAGGCGTGGTTGTAATTCGATTTCGCCCATTTTCGCACTATGACATAGAAACATGAAAAGACCGTTACGCACCGAATTTGGTTGAAATCGGTTAAGCAGATCTCAAGATATGGGTTTTCACCTAAAAGTGGGCTGTGCCACGCCCACTGTCTAATTTTGAACGCGGTTCCTATAAAGTCATCTTATACCATCTCAGAGATAAAATTTAATGTCTCTGGCGTGTTTAGTGCTTGATTTATCGCGATTTTAGTAGTTTTTAACAGTACCGTTATATGGGGAGTGGGCGGAGTTGCCACCCGATTTCAACTATTTTCACACCGTCAATAGAAGTGCTAAAAACATTTGCTTCTAGTGAATTTTGTTATTATAGCATTAGCGGTTTAGGAGATATGCACATTAAACCTATTAGAGGCGGGACCACGCCCACTTAAAAAAGAAATTTTAACTGCAGATGCCCCTCCCTAATGTGATCCTGTGTACCAAATAACAGTCTTGTATCTTATTGCGGAGCTTAGTTATGGCAAGTTATTTGTTTTTGATTAAGGGCGTTTTATGGGCGTGGCAGTGGTCCGATTACGCCCATCTGCAATACCAACCGTCTCACGGTACCAAGAAACATTTCTACCAAGTTTCATAAAGATATCTCAATTTTTACTCAAGTTAGAGCTTGCACGGACGGACAGACGGACAGACAGTCACCCGGATTTCAACTCGTCTCTTCATCCTGATCATTTATATATATATAACCCTATATCTAACTCGATTAGTTTTAGGTGATACAAACAACCGTTAGGTGAACAAAACTATTATACTCTGTAGCAACAGGTTGCGAAAGTATAAAAAAATTTGAAAATATAATACTGACGCCAAATTGTTGACCCGTGAAATTAACTATATCCAGTTTCTCCAGCGCTTTCTCGCATTTTAACAGTGTTTCCAAGGGCACACGCTGATTTGGATTACTCAAAATTTCCAGTAATTTGCTCATTTTAGTGAATTTTTCGGTATCTGAAAATATGCAGAACAATTAATTAAGCTTTCGCTACTTTTAAGCTGCGAAATGAAACTCACTTGCGCCGTCAGTGCCGATTTTGGCCATCATGCGTTTTAGTGGCTCAATATACTTGGTTAGTTGTTTGTATTTCTCGCGATACAAGTGATCTTCTTGGGGATTGAAAGGGCTGTTGCTTGCCACCTGACCTGGTGTGTTGAGTGGGGCGCTGGGCGATTGACGCATTTGTCGTTGTGAATTCTGCATAAGATTCGACATTTGTGGACTTGAGGTCGGCACTAACGCTGGACTGGGAATCATTTGCGGATTAGGCATCTGCGACTGTTGTTGCTGCTGTTGCTGATTTTGTGCTGTCTGCTGTTGTTGCTGCTGCTGCTGTGCCTGTTGCTGCTGCAATTGTTGTTGGACCGCAGTCATGCCAGCAGGTGAAGGGACAGTGCTTGGTGAGGGACTCTGACGTAAGAACTGTTGTTGTTGGCCAGGAACACCACGGTTAACTTGGAACATTTGACCACTTTGACCCATAGGCATGTTTGCTTTCTGCTGCATATTTGGCGCCATACCAATCATTTGGTTCATGCCACCTAATTGAGAAAGTAAGAATTTAAATTAAATAACTTCGTTGGTTAATAACAATAAAAATGACTGTACCTTGCTGTCCAGCGTTTTGTGGCATGCCACCACCTTGTTGACCTTGTGACCCACCCACTACATTGCCCGCATGCATTGGGCCGCCTTGGTTCTGTTGCATATTTGGTGGCATGCTCTGCATGCCTTGTGGGCCAGTGTTTGGCCCCATCGGACCCCCTGCGTTCATACGTGCGTTCATCATTTGGTTGAGCTGTTGGTGGTTCATACCCATTTGCTAAAAAAAAAGAATTTCGAATTTTTATGAAATTTTTCGTATATTATTATTACAATATTATATACTTACGGCCATTTGTTGTTGCCCCATTTGTTGCATTTGCTGTACGTTCATAGCGTTCACGTTCATTGGTCCACCTTGCATTTGGCCGGGACCCATTTGCATTTGTTGTGCTGGGCCACCAGGACCTCCTGGTCCACCGGGACCACCACCACCCATTTGATTCATCTGGCCGGGTATTCCACCCATTTGCTGGGCATTGCCAACCATATGGGGCTGCTGTCCACCTGCGTTACCTATACCAACACCACCACCCCCACCACCAATAACATTCATTTGCATACCACCACCACCCATATTTCCACTCATTTGTTGCATCATCTGTTGATTGGGACTAGCACCCATGGGCATTTGCCCACGTATGCCCTGCATTTGTTGCATCTGCTGTCCTGGTCGCTGCTGACTTAGTGTTTGTAATAAATTTGTCGCAGCAGCGGGACCGCCAGGACCCATTTGATTGGGATTGGGACCGGCAGCCATTTGAGCATTACGATTACCTTGGCTAGCAAGTGTTTGGAGCGCATTTAAGGGGTCTGGCATCATACCTTGCTGGTTCATTTCGGTATTTTGTTGCGGCGGCGGTTGTGTAGGCTTTCCTGCGTAGCCAATAATTTTAGAAATGAATCAATTAGGCAAAAATCACTATACACTGCGCCATGTGTACGTGTACATTCATGTGTGTATATGTGTAGGATAAATCAATCGAAATACTCACTTTGTGCTAAATCTTGGAAGTGCATAAAAAGTTTTGCCACTAAACCCATGTATTCCTCCTTGCTGCGTGACTTCTTGAAAATATGATTTTCCATAACACCAGCATTTTTCGTAGGATCCGTCGTTTGTAGAGCTTGATTACTAAAACGGTTATTATATTATCAAAATTTTGCTATCACAATTTTCACAACAAAAAACTTACATTTTTGCAATCATGCTCTGGCGAAATTTTTGCGAGGGCCATTCTTCTGCCATTGTAATATATTTAAATCAATAAAACAAATTTTTTAAATAAACTTTCTCAATAGATGAAGAAAAAAGATGCGGCAGCGAATGGTATTTTTCTAGGGAACAAAATAATAATGGAACACAGCTGTTTTATTTATTGCTGACAATTGCAGAAAAACGCTGTGACAAGCGAATGGTAGCTTTGTATCTTAACTGCTAGCTATCAGGAGGAGGAAGATTGCAGGGAAACTAGCAGAAACTAGTAATAATGTATCAAAATGCTGTTTTTTACAACCACTTTAAATCAACAATTGAAAATGAGTTAACAAAATTTCTATTTTCACAATTCCAAACAATGAAAATTATCAAAATCATAGCAAATGCGTCAAATATCGCTGGAGTACACATGTGATCTAACAGCTGTTTCTTCATATGGCAGTATCTATTTTATGCTTGTAGAAATTTCACTATCAGCTCTCAGATTTTTACGCTCTCTTCTACTAGATTTTTGCGTTAGGTAACTTTGCCAACTAGTGACAAGGATGAAATGATGCGAGACTCTTTGAATCGAGAGAGAGCTGTCAAAACCCACATTTTTTATAACATTTGCCAATCATGCCACTGTCGAACGAAAATGGATTGGGTATTATAAAAAAAACTTGGGGGGTATTTTGCATTTCGATATTATTTTTAGGTGCTCCGTCCCCAAGTAGGCCTATATAACGCATATACATCCCTATATACTTGTATTTATATTATAAAATTTTTAAAAATGCATATAACATAAAAAATTAGCATATAAATAAAAAAAATTATAACAAAGAAACAATACAAGTCATAATAAAATATCATGGTTTTATAATGAACGTTTTAAATTAAATTAACAAATAAAATTTAGTTGCACGTTATTCAAAAGTATTTGTGTCGTTCTTTTCGCACTGCTTTTGTTAGCTATTTTTAGCGGGTTTATTTCTGGCATCCCGCCTTTTTTGACATCAGCTGTTCGAAATTCCCTGATTTTAATAATCAGGGAAAGAGAATAACAGAAAAATCAGCGAAAATGAGAGAGTCTCGCATCATGTCATCCTTGCTAGTGATATTTAACAGTTAACATACAGACCATTTTCAAACGAACAAAGAAATAATAGAACACAGCTGTTTTATTTATTGTTAAGAATTGCAATTTTCCAATTCCGGTGTTTTATTTATATTTCTCGAAGAAAATTATACAAATTATAAACAAAATCTCGAGAAATGATTTCAATTCTTTATATTAAACAAATCTCAGAAAAGCCAATTGTTTATCAACAACTAAATATTTAGGAGTGAAGTGCTTAAACCAAATTCAAGAAAACAATAGGTAAACAAACAACGATGGCGTATGTCACCTTTTATCTAGCTACTTAATGATACCAGACCTCAAAATAATTTAATAAAAAGAATTGGATTTCAATAACGCTAATGATATTATCACATTTTTCCTGTTTAATACATAATATCTGATTTATTTATATTTAAATTAGTTGAAATTTCTTTTGATTTAAGAAAAAAATATTTATTGTAGAAATAATTTAGCAAGAATGGAAAAGTAAATAATATTTTATATTGCATATTTCAATTACAACTTTTATTTAAAAATCTACAAATCGTGAAATAAATAAGAAAAACCGATAGCTTCGGCTGCACTGAAACTATAATACCCTACACAGCAATAAAGGGTGTGAAACGATCTTTACCTTGATTTTAATCGGTCAGTTTGTATGACAGATATATGCTATAGTGGTCCGATCTGAATAATTTCTTCAGTTACTTTGAATAAAACTCCATGCCAATTTTTGTGAAGATATCTCGTTGAATAATCGACTCAGCTCATCATGCTGATCATTTTTGTGTGTCATGTATACATATATTTTATAGGGTGTTACAAACTTCGTGGCAAACTTAATATACACTGTTCAGGGTATACAAATATTTAATGCTTAAGGGATTATGATTAGGATTTTGAAACAATAAATTTTTATTTACTTCATTCTTAATTTCACAATGGCATAGTTTGCAATCCACAAACCAGTAAGTCAATTAAATGTCTATTCACACTTTAAACGCGGTTTTCTCGAAGCAGTATTTTCAAATTCGGTAAGCGAAGGAATAAGAGATTTAACAAAAACCTTTTTTTTAAATCTTGTTTAAAGTCGGAATAGTCAAACACTTTTTTCAATCCTGAAAAAAAATTTATTTCAGATTATTTGAACCAGAGATATCTAGTTTACCGCCATACACCTTTTTGCAGAGAACCCTTATAGGTTCGCGAATTTATCGAAAACTTGCCATCCACAATCTGTTGACGACAAAAGTTAAAGAAACAGTGCTGAGTGAAAAAACCCAAATTCGCTGATGGCACTTTGCTTATAATAAGTGGTAATGGAAATCAGATTTCCGATTCCCTATGTTAGTTAATATTTTCCTTCCTTACTTGTTATTGATATTTTATGAGAGGAGTAGTGTTTTAAATATCAGACTTCCCAACTTTAAAGCGTTTTCCTCACAACTCACGTTTTTAAAGTCGTTGCCCTCCATGCCTTCAAAACTACTACACCGATCGTTGTGAAATTTTGAACACTATTTTTATACATAAATTTATTTTTCATTTTGAAATAACAAATTAACCGATTGCCTGGGCAAAGCGATTATCTAGCGATATAGTTTTCATTTTGTAATTTCAGATTTTCCAGCACCGGGCTATGAGGAGCATCGCAATTCGACTTTTTTCCGAGACGTTTCAGAGTAATTGTTGCCAATTACTGACAACTGTTTCATACAAAAAGGAATGAAAATGGGCCTTCTAGTACACGAATTAACCCTACTCCGCCTTAAAGCATTGTTGAATCTAATCAACCGATCACCGCAATTTTCTTCATTTTCGCCGTTTTGTTTAAATAACTTTATTAATTTTGTTTCTTTACGATTCTACTATACTACATACTTCCGCTACACAGCTTGAATAGTTTATTTTAGTACCATTTGAGATTGGCAACCTTATGACGATATCAGAGAGAAATGACAGCACTAACAACTCCATGACACTCATTGAGCGCCATTTTTCCTATTTCCCTTTTAAGTTAACGGTATACCGGATGTATCTGTGTGTGAGTCGATTGCATAGAGCACAAATTCACTCTTACCTTTAATTTTAAGCATTTTCTTTAATACAAATAGTAAAGTATAGTTTTTAGGTGCTGATTGATATGTTTACCGAACGTTTTTCGCCGCTCAACACTCACTAAATGCTTAACTGTGCGCTAACGTTAATCGTGTATGTTGTTGTTGCTACTGCTACCTGTGTTAACGAGCGCTCCACGACGCGACAACGGCAATTGCAATTTTCGTTGTCGTAGCCGCTGCCGCTGCCAGCTTGTTGGATGATAGCAGCACAATTGTCACGACATTCGCTCCTCGTTCGTTTGCCGTGGCGCATCAGCAAAAACGTTCGTTCTCTCGTTGTTCATTCGTTTCATTCGATTGGTTCGCTTATTATTTTACTTGCGCTGGTATTTTATCGTATTATTTGCTGACGTTTGAAAATTCTGATGTGAGAAATGTGTCGCAGTTAGAACTCCAAACAGAAAAGAAGTAAAATATTTGCAATTTAAGTTTCTGCCGCTTGCGAAATACACACATACACCCATCTACATATCCAAATAAATAAACGCTCACCTTGAGGTGATGGCAGAAAAGCAGAAAAATCCGTGACAACGCTACTGGCGTAGATATTAGAAAAACTAAAATTATAACTAAAAAAATAAAATAATAACAACAACAATAACAACTTCAATAGAGGTGCGTGTAATTGTGTTTGCGCGCTCGGCTGTTTTTTGTGCGTTCGGTATGTGTGTGGAAATGGAAAATGATACAAATCGAATTGAGCAGGCGAAAAGGTAAAAGAGGCAAAAAAGCAAAGTGCAAAGTTTGCGAAAAACAATATTAAAGTAGAATTGAAACATAAATATAAACGCAATACCGCGCGCTTAAAATGAAAACACCAAGTGGCTGTGTCACAACAACAACAACAACCGTCGTCGTCGCCGTCGACGCGCTGTTGTTGAACTGATTTTTAGTTGGGAGGAAAGGTGTGCGGTTAGCGAGCAATGAAAAAAAGAGCTGTCGCTCAAAGTGCAATGTTGAAAATTCAACTTAAATTTCAAAATGAAATAAATCAACAATAGCAACAACCACAAACATATAGCAATCAATCAACAATAGCTTTAACAACATAAGAATATTTAATATTTTCAATTGCAATCAACGCAATTGCATTTAAGTATAAAAAAACAAATCGCGACAACAACAAAAATATAACGGTGTACCTACAAAGCAACAATAGCACGAGTAAAAGAAACACTTCGCTAAGCGGTGATAGTAGCGACAACAACAACAGCAACCTGGGCAGGCCATTTTTCGTCGAACGCGCGGGGTGGTGGACGGGCGTTTTGGGGTGAAACCGCAACCTAATAGGTAAGTAACAAATGTAAATTGGGCAACAATTTCCCCCAACTAAAACGGCTGTGCAGCATTGAGCAGTGCTGTTCGCTTGATTAGGCAGGCCCACAGCCGCATAGCACTGGCTGCCGACCAATAACAACAACAGTAGCGGCAGTGGCAGCGGTAGCGGCAGAGGTAGCAATACACATTTACATACATACATATTTATTCATGTGTAAATTGACAATATTCGTAACTATCGACCGCCAGCAGCGTCGGCACATTGACGCTGCCCTGCTTTGCCTTTGCCGTGCTTTACATGCAAAAGTGTACTATCTACACATTTATACATATACAATACATTTAGCTACATGCATACATACATATGTATGTAAATATGTAAATAAGAGGTTTCGGTGCTGCCGTGGCTGTGGTAATTTATTGTCGCCGCCGTTACCAAACTATCTTTCTTTCATTTTTTTTTTTAATTTTGCTGATTTCGCTTTTATTATTTGTTTTTGTGCACGCTTTGCTCTTTTCACTGTTGCCACCTTTGGGCTGAGCGCTGGCATGCTATCAACTCCACTATCTGAACGTCGACGCTAACATACAGTGTGGCAAAATATAGTAAATATCAGACTTTTTGTTTAATGACAAATAAGTTAGAGGAAGGAACTTAAAAAAATATTATGAGCCAAGTACAATATTTGCTAACATTGACCTTCATATTTTCAATAACGTTCTTACCACGCAAGTGTGAACCACAATAAAAAAAATGTTGTAACTGTTTTCAAGCGGCAAAATAACTATATCAAAGACATCTTACATTTTTTCGAAACAAAAGGAAGTGACACGCTTTAATTTAATGGCCTGTAAACAAAACGATAAACCAGTACATAACCGATAATTGACAGAATTGTTGTTATTAGTTATATGAAATTTTTACGCTTGTGTGTTTGTGCGCATTCTATCTTGTTAGACTTCATTTAATTTGTTAAATAGCTTCACTTTTAAATTTTAACTGCTTGGGTACACATGTACATCCATGTGTAAATATGTGGTATATAAACAATAATAATAAGTATAGGTATAATTATTTTGTATTGTATAAATTAAAAATACAAATACATACATACTTATGTGTAATAAAATTGTATACAACTTATTCAAATTATTAATAATAATAGTTCGAAGTTTGCTACGAAGCTCTCCTATAAACTATAGGGATTTACTTAATGTTGTTAAATAAATGTATAGCTTAAGGTGCTTCTAATCACCTGAATCATCAAAGTTGCTTGGCGGAGGCGAAGTCTGTTGAAAACAAAAAAAAAACGTTCACTACGGCTGCTCCGAGCCTAAGATACCCTTCACAGAAGCATTTCTTATTATATAAAAGAGTATAACAAGATCTTTATCTTGATTTTGGTTGGTCTGTTGGTATGTCAGCTATATGATATAGTAATTTGATATGAACAATTTCCTCGGAGAATATACCATTGACTCGGATAATAATCCATGCCAAATTTCGTAAAAACTTCTAGTCATGTAGAAGGTTTTCCATACAAGGACTTAATTTTGTTCGTTTAGCTTAAGGCAGCTATGTTATATGTATGCAATAGTAGCCCGATTTGAAAAATTTGTTCAGATATTTTAGCGTTGCCCTAAAGAGTAATTTGCACAAAATTCCGTGAAGATATCTCATCACAAAAAAAAGGTTTTCCGTACAAGAACTGGGTTCCGATTCGTTCAATTTGTATGGCAATTACCATATATGCTATAGTGGACCGATATTGGTTCCGACACATGAGCTGCTTAGTGGAGAGAAAAGAAAATTTCTGATCGATAGAAACTGAGGAAATAGTTCTCGTATATACAGACCAGACAGCCAGACCGACATTGCTAGATCGACTCAGCTCGTCAGCTGATCATTTATGTATAAATTTTATAGGGTTCCCGACATTTACTTCTGGGTGTTACAAAAGCCCTGCTTTTAGATACATAAATGTATACATACATATATGTTACACTCTTATGTTTCAGCACAAAGGTAACAGAACTGTAGGCTTAAGAACTCGGGGATAGCCGGGTATTTTTTATATATCAAACAAATGTACATTTTGGTGTATATACACACATATAACATATATATATACATACATATATCTATATAGGATTTTATATTTGAATAGTGTATGTATGTCTGCGACTTGGCATAACAGTACTTCTGTGATAAGAGTGTAATAAAAGGTATGTGTATGCCTAAAAATTGCAAAATGTTTACAAATATTTTTAAAGATTCGGAACGGAAAGTAAGGTCTAGTCAGAATTGGTTAAAGTGCACACATACATACCGCGAGCACGCAGCTTTCGATGTATACTACTACATATGTATGCTTAATTCAATAAGTTTATGAGGTAGTTTCATTTCAAAATATTGCCACTGATCGGGTTTCAGTTTATGGATTTTCAGTACCGAAGCTTTCGGTATAGTGAAATTTATTTTAACCGTTTTTTCATCGTCTCAGTAGAAATTTTATTAGCTTGAAGGGTTAGACCAGTTTAGATCTTTCCAAATAGCTTAACTTTAGAACCTAAAAAATTGTTCTGGGATTAAAGAAACATTTATGAATTTTTCTCTTTAAAAGGAAATCCTCTCCCTTAAAAAAGATTTGTAGAAAATAAAGTTATATTATTTTTTTACGAACAGCTGTTTATATTGGGTTCATTGCTTATAAATTGGTTGTATCAAAGTTTCAATTTCTAAAAAAATTGCATATCTCATTGTAAAAAGTTATATCGTTCTTTACTTTTCAGTAGATTGTACTTTTGAATTCTCTATTGTATAATGCCTCTACTTTATTAAATATGAATTTATATATAGACATTTTTTTTATATTTTCGAGAACACTATCGAAATTATTTGGCAAACAAAATATTTTTAGAAATTATGCAGAAGTAATCTCATGTGAGGCATTAGTATCACGAAGCCTATGATATATTTCCAAAATTTTGGAGCAGTTCTTTACTTTTCTGGAACAGTTTTACTAACGGTTTTGAGTTCCTTGATGATTTGGTGAAATATAAGTCTTAAAATAAATAATAAAATAAGCCTTAATGGGTTTTTTTCTAATTTTGTTTATTATTTGACGAAAATCAAAATATAATAATATAATTTTAACGGAACTACTTATGTTAAAAAAATGGAATTAACTTTCTCATAGGTTCTCGGCTAATTTTTGTGTTTGTTTCAAAATTCAGCTCCTTAACCCATAATCGGTAAAACAAGCCGTGGACTGAAAAATCTTTGTCCTAGCAATAAAGGAAGTTTTTTATATTGAAATATATGCAGCTCTGTTCCCCGACTATCCAACTAGGTTAATGAATTTGTTGTTATAAGAAATCCTTCAACATTTCGATACTGGTTCGATAGTGGGAAGTTTGGAGGACTTCAAAGTAGGTGTTTGCTTTCATCTGAACTTGCTTATTTGAGTGAAATCTTTTTCCAGCGAGACACTCTTTGATTTTGGGAAGGCGAATATAAAAGCTGGACCCCAAAATTCACCAAATACGGTGAGGGGAGGACGTAAATATTTCAATGTATCGATCGTATCACAAGATGAGTGATTCGGAAAGTTGTTTTGGTGAAAGAGTAATGCGGTATCCTTCACCTAAACAGCTCTTTCATCCATCAGGAAACAACAAAAACAAACACAAAATATTCAATTGTACCAGTAAACAAATATTATATCATAGGTAGCGTCACTTTGAAACCTATAACTTGAGAACGAGTGGAAAAGATGTCATGCAATTTTAATAGCAAGTCTTAAGCTTACTCTTACTTACTCTGAGACAAGAATGGACATTTATTATTTGTTGCAATTTTTCGGTCAGATCAAAGAGTTTTCAGTCCATTTATTTATGTATGTACGAATGTAGATATATCTAAAATAAAATAAATAAATAACCACATACATATGTATATGTATTTAACACAATTAAGACAAAATTCTATTTAGCTTTGTGTGGAAAATGTATCTTTATTAATTAGTGTTAATTATGTTAAAAGAAATTTGATTGATATGTTAAAACAATGACACCATTCCACTTTTTGATTAAAAACGGTTTGTCATGTCGTAGAAAACCCCGTGCGTAACAAGTTAGCGTGTATACAGTTCAGCATTTACATATGTATGTATGTGACTTTGTATACATAACATATATACATACCTATATATGCATATACCATATGTGGTATACCTTAACTTGTTTTGTTTTCTAATTTTTGCTTAAGTTTTCACCGTGCACGCCACAACGGAGTTTTAAGCGCTGACGTGCTGAAGTGTGGTGCAATGCGCGTTGGGTGTTTGATTGCCTACTCGCTGTACGCCGCAAACACCGTTCGATATTCGACGCGGCGCACCGCGTTCACGGCTACTGCGGCGCCGCCACACTGCTACGTGCTCCACATTTTCCCCTCCGTTGACTCGTGTTATAACATTTTCATGTTACTTAAACGCATCTTTTTGTCTATTTTGTTGGTATTGTTTTTCTTTTGTTTTTGCTGTCTCTACTGGCATTATTGCTGTTTCTACCGTTGATTGTTGCGTGCATTGTTGCTGTTATTATTACTCTTATTATTATTGTTTTTGCCGCTGTTCGTCAATTTTGTACTTTGACTGATTTGCTCGTTGTTTCGGCGTAATGTGGTGATGAGCGTGCTTTGCGTTGTTTATTTTATGCTGCCTCGAACGTGTGTAGTTGGAGCTTGTCATTGTCGCGTAAACGCCGCTGTCGCCTTCATTTCACAATTTTCATTTAAATTCTCTGATTTTTTTCGTACTGCTTCGCGTGTAAGGTATATGCCTCTTTCCTCGTTACGTGGCGTGGTCGGCCGCTTTACACAACGCTCCCCCACCGAACGCTGCAGCTGTCACCCGAACGCCAGCAGCGACGGGCAATCGCTTTAGCATTCGCTACGTACTGCCAATTGCTATTGTTGTTGTGTGTTCGTGTGTCTATTGTTTTTTAGCAGC